CAAAATGGTAGAAGACTTTTTTGTTCAATTTGGCCTAAAGTATAAGTTCACGACGGCAGTCGTCGCTATTATAACTCATTTACCATATCCTGCAAGATCATTCACAAATTTTCTATAATTAATATCTCGATAATTAATGCGAATATCGCAAAACAGGACTTTTATGTTCACCTCAATCTGTTCTACGTCCCCACAAAATGCTCGGAGAAGAGTATGAGACACCCTGTATATATATGTATATATCGACATTTCGACATGTATATATCGATATTATATATATATCGATATTATATATATATCGATATTATATATATATCAATATTATATTTTGACATGTATATATCGATATTATATATATATCGATATTATATTTCGACATGTATATATCGATATTTGATCATTTCTTTGGAAAAAATTCGTAAAAGCCTCCTATTTTTCGGCTATCTAAACCAGAACCTCCCTTTAAGAGCCATTCGTTCAGTATTTTGTCTTTATTTAATTTCACTTTACGTTCCAATCGATCGACTTGAAATAGAGCTGTCATTCGAATAACTATTAAATAACAAATTATGTTTAAAGATTAATATATACACAAAAGCAAAAGTTTGATATAGCACATGGTTTTATACTGATTAACTTGAAAAAATGATTAAAGATCATATATTGATTGACACAAAATGATACTCTCGCAAATCCTTATCTTGAATGTGAATGCAATTGTTCGAAAATGAAGCTTTTTATTTAATCGTGTAGGAAATATATACTCTGTTTTTTTAATACTGAAAAATTTTTAATAATTGTGTTTAAAAAATTAAGTATATTCTAATTTAGATAATTTCCATCGCGTAATATATAAAACTCTAAAGAGCATTCCAATCTGCGTACCTTACCTTTGCACACCCAGAATGAAGTTGTTGCCAGCGTGCAAGAGTTCCTCATGAGCTTGTCCATGAGTTAAACTGCTGATCGGTTGATCATTTAATCTTACTACGACATCGCCGACCTTTAAACCCATACATTCGGCCAGGCTGCCCTCTGTGACCTGTAGATTATTTCTGCATTTTATGTTCTAATCCTTTCATAAGTGCTAATAATAAACCATCCTTGATTATTCCCTCGAAAGATTCAATTTATTTTTATCTTAATTTTGCCGAAGACACAAGAAAGTGATAATAATGAAATAAAATCGTGTTAAGAGATTGACAAAGTCACTCGACTCTTGTATAAAAATGAGAATTGTATCATCCTTATCATAATTACGATTTGAGCATTTTTGTTAACACCGACAATTGATAATAAGCGAGATAAGTAAGGAACTCACTCTAATGACAGTAAGCGGCTGTGGAAAATCGCTGCCACCCGTTAGCCGAAAGCCCCATGGCGTGTTGTCGAATTTTGTGAATTTTATGTTGATTGCCATGTCGCTCTACATCTGAGATGAAATCGTCCGAAATCGTCTATAATTATAGATCCGGCAGATTTGACTTTACGTGTGAAGCTTCTGCGAAATTTACGCGCGATTGCACACCAATCGACCCCCGTGAATAGAATAAATAGAATAAACGGAATAAAAAGGAGAAAATGAGTATACAAAACTTGAAAAGAAGAAATTGATTCGTTTGCGTTTTGATATTGACTTTAAACTGTAATTAATACAATCGATTGACAAGTATTGTCAGTATGACAAGTATTATTTATCCGTTGATACATGAAGTTATCAACATTATTGTTGATATTTTATATTTTAATAATTATTCTGAATAGGAGGGGGAGAATTTAGGTGCCTAAATTTAAAATTGCTCAAATAGAAAATTCTAAATTTTGTCTACGTGAATTTTCAGTTAAAATGGGATATTGGCAACGCGAAACGACAACACCGGATGTCGGATATGTGTTTTCTTTTATAATATCCAGTGCTATTTCTACGTTGTTTACGAATGCAACGGTAAATAATAAATATATCGCCGTAATGAATCGCGAAAATATGCACGATTTAGAAAGAGGGAGAGAGAGGTCAACGATTCTCACGGAGTTGCCCGCGAGCTGCCAAGGTAACGTTTATAAATAAGCTCAATCATAAATCGCAAATAGGACTCGAGTCGACGAGTGAACTTTAATCGGTAAGCAAGCGTAAGGTAAGGTAAAATCAAACATCATCGTGAAATAATATTTGTGTATGGTGCTTTTATCATGACGCCAATGAGATGCCGTAGGAATTAAGAAATGGGCGAGGGCCAAATTACAAGAGTGACGTGCACCCTTCGGAATGCGTTTACGCAGAATATTTCTATGCACGGGATATCTGACAATTCATGCACCTACTGTGTGCAGGCAGAACTCATCGAACTGACCTAATTCCTTTAACATTTTGTAAAATTTTGAGTCAACAATTGAAGAAGATTAGTGAATGATCAAGCGCAATACGGTGGATGAGCCGCGATGGTTACACTTGCCGTTATGTGCCTGTAGATTAGGTTTGTTCAAACTGAACAAGAAAAATTTTCTACTATTTTGTAAATAGGCGTGCAGATGTTTAGTTATTAATTGAAGAACGTTCGTGCATTATCGCGCGCAATCTATCCACCAGTCTTCTTTAATAACTTAAAAGTCTACGTAGTTGTTTGCGAAATAATAAAGAATCTTTTCGTTTGATCTAATTTATGTGTACACGAAATATGGGACACTTTGCGCAAGACACTGCAAAACAATGTAACAAAGTTTATTCATAGAAATAAGCTTTATTTCACAGAAACAGACTTTATATGCCACAAATAAACTTTAAAGTATTTTTTTCTTGGTTTAGGACTTCTCTCTCTCTCTCTCTCTCTCTTTCTTTGTCTCTTTCTCTCTCTTTCAGGATACGATCGAAAATTCGCTCATAAATTGCATGCATGGATCGACACTGTTGCAACTCTCTGTCGGAACTGTTGCATTATCGGGACTCGAACTCATCGGAATTACATCGATTCCTAGAGCTATTACGGAACTACTTACGATCCCGGTCGGAAACGCGAGTTTCCGATTGCGATTTTGTCCGTGACTTTGGGCTATTGTGAATCGCCTTCGAAATCAATCAACTATTTCTACGAAATAAACGATAGGAACCATCCCCGATCATTGTATGAGACTTCCATGGCTCTGTGCCGATCGATTGTATTTACATATACATCAAGTTATTTTCGGGGAGTTAAACTAAATAGTTCCTCCTTTCTTTTCTTTCTTTTACGGACAGAAATTCGCCCATGCAAAGAATCGTCACCGACGTGACTACCGACAAAAAGTCTGCCTCCCAATCGCTTAGTCGCCCCACGAATTCGCGCTATGTAAGGGTAATCGGGTCAAGATGGCCCAAGGGCCATGTTGGCCATACGTTTTGTATATATATATTTGTTGCGGAAGGAATAATGGAAAAAAGGAATCACAAAATGTTTTTTTCTGTCGCATTAATAAAAAATTGAGTCAAAGGAACTGTATATTAGAGTTATGTAAATTTTTAGGAGATGTCCCTTTGATATATACAAGATAACGAAGAAAGCAAAGTGTAAAAAGAAAAATAAGAATTCTTTTTTAAATGCAGAAAGCAAAAGAAAAAATTCCTACATTTCAAGAAATTGAAACGTAGTTGTTATGTGCGATGCAAATGTTTTTCCAATTACCAAAAGATTGATCTAATTGCATAATACGATTATAATTCTATCTCTGATGAAAGATCAAATAAATCAAACAGTAAAGTACACAAATAAAACGCGTGGGCAACGTGATCTTTGCATCAATTAGAGACGACCTGTCCTACCTGGAAGCAATATCGAATATATCAACCACGTAAAAAAAACGTGAGGAAAAAAATAAAGAGCCAACGACTGAGCCAACATCGTACAACGTGATTATCCAACGTGAATACTCAAGTGATTATCAATTACATGTAACCACGGCAGAATCGAATGTTTCATTCGTGAACACTAGGACCCCCCTCAGCGGCTACAAAAGCCGTCGCAAAAATTCTACTCTAGATCCGAGTTTGATGAGAGAGTAACATTTATATTTATCCACTGTCTCGAGCGTTCAACAACCCATGATCAGAAATAAATATATACGGAGTGTCCCGATATGACGAGGTGGCCGATGGTGGTAGGTCTCGCTTGGTGCGCGCGTATTACTTGCCGGCGGGCCGGTGGTAGCTTTAGCGAGGGCACAAGTTCCAAGTGAGCCGGGGGCGCGGCGCGTGTCGCAGAGAAGGGTGCACGGGGTGGTGTGCACACACGCGGCCAAGGACTCACTGCATGCGCCGGTGCGGCGCGAGAAGCGGCTGGAATCGGCGGTCAAACGACGCGGAATAAGCGGACGAGCCCGGCCGGCCGTTGCCCGGCGCAATGCGGCTGAAACGGTGTCACGATAGGCTTTGCCAGAAGGCAGATCCGCGAGCTTGCTGGCTGCAAATACTACGAGCGCGAGCCAGTGACGCTCTTGTGTGCCGGCTCACGGTCTATTTACTGATCGATCTATATTGGATTTGAGCCTCGATTTCCGGTTAACGAACGCCCGCCTCCGCCTCGCCGGCGAGTCGGCGCTCCTGCAGCGAGACCGACGAGATTCTCAGGATACCGGTTTGAACCTAATTTCACTTTGGCCACACGGTCATGTGGTTCGTTTAACTTGTTCAAATAGCACAAAACTATTACCCCATACAGCACAGAACGTTGAAAAAACCTTGATGAGACGTTGCAACGTTGAAAATAGAAGTGAGGATGTTTTTTCTACATGGAATTTATGTTGATTTTTTAACATCGATTACAAGATATTGCTGCAATGAATTTATGTTGATATTATATATTGAACAAAAAGTACAATTTTTTGCAACAATATTTGAGGAGCATTGAAAATTATATTATTGATAATATTAATAAAATATTTGTTATTATATAATAATAATAAAGAGTAAATTATTATTAAATTTTATTATATTAATATATATGTATTATATATGTTATACCATAATCATATATATTTTTCTTATTGTTTATATGTAAAATTGAAAAGTGTTTAAGCAATTTTGCGTAAACCCTGAATATTCTTTTATTTCATAATATTCTCTATTATATAGAGTCTGACGCAAGCTGTATCGATAACAAAAAATGCATAAAAAACATTAAACTGAAAGGAATGGTCGAAGTCATTTTGCAAATAACTATATAAATTTTAGAGATATTAAATAAAATAGATAGGCGAATCAACGCGTGTATTTGCTAGGTACGTTATAATATACTGTGAACACTGTAAGTATACATTTTATAAATATAAATTATAAGAACATTGTTGGAGTCATTGGAATCACCGCGTGCCGCTCGATCGTCAGGTTTAAGCAACGCAGTCAGGATGGATGATGGGTGACTGGCATACCACTTCGGATTCGAAATTATCGATGGAGGATTCGCGAAAGTTTTAGAGTGTTTGACAATTTTTGGTTTCGAGCAATTTCCTTTATAACTGCGATATAACTATGTTACAAAACTGTTATGTTATTATGTTATACTGTTATGTTATTATGTTATGTTATTATATTTACTAGTTAAGTTACATCAACAATATAACAGCAACATAACTTTAATATAACATGTTATATAAGAAGTCTAATGTTTGCATTACATTTCAGTTGTACAAAATTTTATATACATAAATGTGAAATTATATTTTAGGTGTTTCTCGTATATAAAGAGATATTTTAATATATGCAAGGATCGTTATCACGATATTGTAAAAGAGAGTTCTTACAAAGAGTCTAATCATAACCTTACTCTGTCAAAGTCTTGTGAGAGAGAAAGAAGGAATATTCTCTCTCTTTTGCAAGTTGTAGGTTAAAATTTGATTACTGATACAACATTCCCAGTAAGCAAATTGAGCGCAGACTACGTGCAGATTGGCAGCAAATTTGATCAAAAACCCACAGCAAAACCATAGCCATCTGTGTCTACATTAGGCTACGGTTTTGGCAACAGATCTTGCTGTCGGGCAATTGGTGCCAAATTGGCAGCAAAAACCGCGCAAAGCTTGCAACGCAGCAAGATCTGCGCGGTTTCTGCCGCCAATCTGCCGTCAAATCGCTACAAGCTTTGCGCGGTTTTTGCTGCAAATCTACAGCAATTATCCGACAACAAGCTCTGCCGCATATCTGGCGGCAATTTGGCAACAAGATTTGATATAACAGATCCTGCATCAAATTTGTTATCTATTTGCCATTAAAAGTTGATAGCAAGCTCTGCTCGAAATCTGTTTGCGCTGGTTTGGCTATTCGGGATTGTATCAATATTAATCATATTGTAATTGTCGTGTCAAACATTTACAACAAATATGTCACATTTTTTGAACGATATAAGAGCATATTGTAAATATTATCTATCAAGAGAGAGATATCGTTACGGCGCATCGGCATCACCAGTTTCCGGACGATCATTGAAGTTAAGCATTGAACAACATGATTTAAAAATGGGTGCCGCCTGACATATAGAATTCGAAACCACGCGAGTTTTACGAATGATTGAAATAATACGGAATATGAAATGTCAGTTTTTTTTTTAATTATTTAGACAAAATAATCATGCATTATCACTTATCTGAACCATACTAATGAATAAATCGTTGGAATTCAACAAAAAAACATATGTCTTTGCTGGAACATCATTTAGTTATTTTGCAGTTATATAATATTAATTGATGTTCCTATATAACCATAATATAACATGATATATTACATGTTATATCTATGAGTGGGAAATAATAACATAACAGCAACATATCAGTAACTTTCATGCAATATTATTTGTTACAAACATTTCTATTGCAGTTATATAACATTGATATAACTGTGTTTGCTGGGTTGCTACCTGGGACGTCATTTTTCCGTCTTTGATTCATCTCTTGATCTTTTAAAATAATTTTTCTAACCTCCCTCATAGCATAAGATCTTGAAAGAATATCTTGAGGACTTGTGTGGACATTTAGAAGCCCTCGGAATATTTTTAGGATATTCTGAGAACTTATGCGGGCATTTAGCAATCCTCTGGATGTCTTTGGAATATCTTTTAAATCTTGTGTTATGTAGGCTATTTGTTCTGCTTTTTGAGTTATATAGAATTGAAATATATGACAAATTGAGGTATATTGAGATATATGAAATTGCATCTTAAGACCAAATCATACTAGAGATTGGCGATTGACGATTGACAATTAAAGATTAGATTTTAACGAATCAACAAGCTTCAGCCTTGACTTGCTTTATTCCAATTGGTCTTGTCCCAATCTTCAATCGTCAATCATCTGTCGTTAGTGTGATTTGGCCTTTACATGCTAAGTATAGCGAATTCGGTAGCTTGCACTTAGTACGCACTGAGTGCGCGTTCAGGCTTGTTTACAGTACATTCTTATATTTAAGATCGTATCTTAAATATATATTTAAAAAAATTTTAGCTAATAAAATGATTCAAACGGATGTTGTACATATATTATGGTTAAAAATATTTGAGAATTTATTTAAGACAATCTTTAAATATAATAACATACTATGAATAAGCCTTAGTGCTCACTCAGTGTGCACTAGTGCAAGCAACCGAATTCGCTATAAGAGAGAAGCCTAAGAACGGCATTAGCCTGATTCCAGAGGCCAGAGCTAGACGCATTTTCGAAACGCCATCTAACAAAATGCGCTTTTACTACGTGCGTTAGGTGCAATATCGCGATGATAACTCGAAACACTTCGGTTCGAATCTCGGCTTAGGGCTTGGAACACAACACTCGGTGCTTTCCAATTGCTTAAGGGCCATCACATACAAAATTACATAGATGCATATGCATAGCATAAGATCATATGGACCAATGAGCATCGAATATTAAGTCGCCATATTGATGATTCATGCTTAATATTCGATGCTCATTAGGGCTATTGCACACAAATTGACATAACTGCATATGCATAGCATAAGATCATATGGACCAATGAGCATCGAATATTAAGTCGCCATATTGATGATTCATGCTTAATATTCGATGCTCATTAGGGCTATTGCACACAAATTGACATAACTGCATATGCATAGCATAAGACCGTATGTACCAATGAGCATCGAGTATTAAGTCGCCATATTGGTGTTCGATGCTTAATATTCGATGCTCATTGGTCCATACGATCTTATGCTATGCATATGCAGTTATGTCAATTTGTGTGCGATAGCCCTTAGTCCATACTATCTTATGCTATGCATATGCGCTATGTAATTTTGTATGTGATGGCCTTAACACATTTTGACACACACGTACACAACTAGTTTATTGATCACATGTTATCTAAAATATCTTGTAAGATAATTTGCAACCAATAAAATAGTTTTGTGTAACACAGTGTACGCAACTGGAAAGCACCCATTGAATATATACTACTAGAAATGCTGCCTCGTGAAGACTGCGGGATGAGAGAGAAGTCTTTGTTTCCTCTGTTATACTTATTTGATTCATAGTAAAGTCAAAAGTGGGGAGAATGTTACATCCTCTCCACTCTCGACTATACTATGAATCAGACAAGTATAAGGGCTATCGCACACAAATTGACATAACTGCATATGCATAGCATAAGATCGTATGGACCAATGAGCATCGAATATTAAGCATCGAACACCAATATGGCGACTTAATACTCGATGCTCATTGGTACATACGGTCTTATGCTATGCATATGCAGTTATGTCAATTTGTGTGCGATAGCCCTAAGGGTGCAAACCATGGACGTAATATACATAGACCCCGCATATGGCCAGAAAAGTGTAAAAACCCAACATGTAGGGTGCGTTTGCTTTGAACGCTTATGCGCTTTAAGCGCTTATAAATATCGCTCACGTCGTTTACTTTGGCGCTATAAGCGCTTAGAAACTGCATATTGACGTCATACGTGACGTCATAATTCGCGCTTACATTCACTTCTTCTATCGTAAAGGCGTGAGCACTTATAAGCGCTTATTTTCCAAAGAGAACGATAAGTTAGATTGCGTCGATTTCATCGACGCAATCTAACCTCCAATATAAACCTTAAAGTGAAATAGTGTTTCAAAATGACTTCCAACGAGAGTAACAAAACCAGAGTAACTCTGCAAGATGTTACAAATAATAAAATGTATACACTTGTTGTTACATCAAATGAGGCAAAACGTGTAGAAACAGATAAGTTTAGGGCACCTTTCATAAAAATTTATTATTTTTGTTATTAAATCATATTTATTTTGAGTAATAAAGCACTGTCCAACAGTATTTAAAAAAAAAATAAGTAATATTTCAGTAACACTAGTAATACATTTGATGAAGGAAACGGACTTTCTCACAAATTTACCTAAATCTTCATATTTTGTTGTATAAAACATGAATATTATATGAAAGTTAAAATCGTTGATTATATTTTGTTGTATAAAACATGAATATTATATGAAAGTTAAAATCGTTGATCTTAAATAAAACAAAAGTTATAAAGTGAAAAGTTATTAAAATGTGACTTAAATACTTCATCATTGTATAATGGTACAATCACTTCTACATAGTTTTTTAACCAAGGTATTGTTTTTTTTTATTGATTCAATCATTACGGATAAATACTTTTCTAATTCTTCTTTATATAAGTTATTTGTTTCGTTATCATTAAAAACATCTAATGAAACTAATATTTGAGCAAATATACAAACAATTTCCTTATCTTTATCCTCCATTTTTACGTTCACAATTGCTTACAACAGCCAAAGGAAACGGTTTTGATCTTTTCGATGAGTGCGCTTAGAAATCAAAGTAACCAGGCAAAAATAGTGCTTATAAGTGTGAGCGCTTTAAGTATGTGAACGTCCAAAACGAACGCACCCGTAGAAAGAGACCACAGATATAATATACATTGGCCGGTATTCATAGTCCAATCTTATATTTGATCAGCATAAGTATTGTCTTAAGATGTCATGAACCAATCACAGAGCCGTATTCACACCTTAAGATGGCTTGAAATAAGATTCGACTATTGGCTCCTGCACACAGGCAGTGGTAATGCTTGCCGCGCGGCGGAAGTCAGCGCGACAGCCAATCAATATGTTGTTTTCCTAGAAGAACTAGAAGGTTATTACTGAAAACAGCATATTGATTGGCTGTAGCGCGAACTTCCGCCGCGTGGCAAACATTACCGCGTCCTGTGTGCATGAGCCATATGAATGACGGCCAATAGACTCCGCATACAGTCAGAAAAGAGTAGACAATATATACAGCCCTTCTGTTCTCTGTCTCTTTCTGCACAGACAATGTGTGCAATAAGATTTAAGTAAGACGTTTACTTGCCAATCTATGGCCGGTATTAATAGTCAAATCTTATATCAGAGAATTCTTCTCATTAGCGGTTTCATCAAAATCCTGTGAGAAAAAGAGACATATTTTCAATCTTTCTCTTTGTCTATCTTTTCTTAACTTAACCTACTGTCATAGGCGTACTGTGATTGGATATTGTGTGGAATTTGACAAAACACAGCGGACCAATCAAAAGTTATTCCTTTAATGGCCAAACTCTGATTAGGGTTGTGTTCCAAAACTCTACTCGACGGATAGAGTAGCATTTAATTCACCCATCAGAACAAAAAGAACTAAAATTTCTTTATCATGATTGGTTAATTGAATATTATTCTGCCGAAGAAGATTTTGGAACGCAGTCCAGAGTGATTCTATTTCAGCTGAAACCGAGATAAAAGCGGCCTATGCAGTGCTGGCAATTCGCGAGATTTTCTCCGCGAAAGGAGGCCTTCTGCGCATGTGTAAAGTGATATGGCAGTCTGCTATTGGATATCGTATCGTATCCACGCATGCGCAACAGGCCCCCTGTCGTATAGAAAATCTCACAACTACCATGACCCCTCTTCTTCTTCTCTCTAGTTACAAAACCAGTTTATTGGTCACATATTATCTAAAATATTTTGTAAGATAATATGCAACCAATAAACAGGTTTTGTGTAAACATAGTGTACGTAGCTGAAAAGCATCCTTAATTAACTGCCACCAACGCCATCTAGCTTAGCTATAAATTGAGGAGCGTGTAATTCAACGGTCTCTTTACGTTCTTCAGCTTGAATGTTCACTTTGCTCTTTTACTTGGGCTCTATTTTCTTTTACGCACTCTACTTTTGGCTATAGCGGCTTTCACGTTTCGATATTCATCCTTTTGCTCTGAGAAAACGTTTAGTGACGTAAAAGTTTGTAAGCGCGTTGGATTCAGCTTTAATAATTAATTTACGGTGTGGACTGCAAAGCGATATTGACCCGAAGGTAAGTTTTACTTTTCAATTACTTTTCAATTTACGAGTTATTCAAGTAGAACTTTGAGTCAAATCCCATACAGCACAGATTTTGCAGCAACATGACGGCAACACTGCTGCAACGTTTAACATTGCTGTAGAGATCTGTGCTATATGGGATATAACTCTCAGAACTGTGATTGTGAATGTTGCGATAATATGTGTTAAAGTAATCGGTAATAGAGTGTTCGTCGTGTTATATAAAAGCAAATATTTTACTTTAAACCAACAGTGAATACTATAAATATAATATTTTCGGAATCCAGACAATAGGCCTAAGGTCAGGTAACACTGATCTTACAATACAATTATTTCTTGGAACATTTAATAAATATTTTCAACACATTTGTGCGCGAAAGGAGGATTTGTCGTCGAACACTCTACAGTTGGTCGTCAAGGAACAACGTTTTTCCCTGCGGTACTGGGCCTTTATTCTTGAAATAGTCGTGTTTACGTAATTTTTACTACGCAGGTTTAATCATACCATAAAATAGCTGCGCAATAAAAATTACGTATACGCAAAAATTTCAAGAAGATGGGCCATGGTTTTAAGAAAGTCACTGTAACGTTACATACAAGTATGACGCTTAGGCCGATTTCACCAACGTCGATTGGGCCTTGATCTAGAGCTTGATTCTTGACGGTATGCGAATGAGATACGCATGGGAAAATGTATAGTTCACGTTACGGATACTGTAGATTTTCGCATGCGTATCTTATCTTATTCGCACACCGTCAAGAAGCGGGTCCTTGAGTTTAAGTCTGTTTCAAATAGTTTAAACGCAGTTTAAGGCTTGCTCGACGTTGGATTCGGGCTTTAATATTCTTTGTTAAAAATTCTTATGAAAAAGCATTAAATTCAAAATTCTTATGGAATAGCACCACGTGTTAAAAAATATCACCGATCTAAAATATTATAATAATACCCTAAGAGCGCCAACGTGCGTCTAACGAGCTTTTAATGCGCATTTAATGCAGTTAAAAGCGCATTATACGTGTACTAGCGCTCCTTGGGTATTAAAGACGAAATTCTTATGGATTAGCATTACGTGTTAAATAATATCACCGATCTGAAATAGTATTAATGATAAAATTCTTATGGAATAGCACCATGTGTTAAACAATATCGCCGATCTAAAGTAATATTGAAGACTATACCCAGTAAGCAAAATATCATTACTACAACGTTATTATAATGATATTCAGTAACACATAATGTTTGCAAGTATGTCGTATTTAACGTTGTACACAGCATCATAGTGAACAAACTTTGATACCGATCTTAAGGTTTCGACAATGTTGAATTCACATATGTTATATCGTTTTACTTAATGTTATGCTAATGTTTTTAGAATATTCTGTGATAACGTTCCTCGAATAATGTTAAATAAATGTTTTCGTAACGTCAATTCATATCCCAAGTAGCACAAATACATTTCCATTGTATATATATATATATATATATATATATATATATATATATATATATATATATATATATATATATATATATAT